TGGTTCTGCCATTCTGTTGTTATCAGATCTTTTCCCCATAACCTTTTGCCAATCAGAAAAAACTCCAATTTGATCCAAAACCATGTTTTAATTTMCCAACACATTAAAACTCCCATTCTGTGGCACCTTCTTCACCTTCCCCACAATATTTTGGATGCTCAGASAATTTCTCCATCCTTGCCTTGCAGATTTTCATCACCTCAAGGATAAGCAACTTGTTCCCTGCTATGTTTAAAATTCATCCTGGTTAATTTGCCTTCTCTCCAACCCAAACCACAGTTTCCCCAGAGACAAAAAAATGCAGAATTCCCAATTCCTGCCCTTCCTGCCCCTCTGGGGCTGGGAAATAAGGTCAGAYCGTTTTCAGAAGCACCTCAAGTGTGTGTCAGCTCTTCCTCTCTGTGATGCCCTGGCAAACAAAGGGAGTGTCACAYGTTTGAAATCTGGCAAACTGGGGTTCCAAGTGAATGAAAATATCAGAATGAAGGGGTTTTTTTAAGATCTCTGCTTGTAAACTAAAAAGGGGATCCATTAATTAAATTTACACAAGGAGACCACATCCTGACATAGAGGGAATAAGGAGAATTAACTGAAATTTAATCCCTGGTGTGAGATGTGAAAATTGAGCTTTTACATTTCAGCTTTCACATTTCAGCCTTTACATTTCAGCTTTTACATTTCAGCTTTTACACTTCAACTTTCACATTGCAGCCTTTACATTTCACCTTTTATATTTCAGCTTTTACATTTCAACCCTTCATCATTTCCACGTCTCCACTCTCAAATATATGTCACTGAAATACGGATTTTTCTTTAAAATTAAATAGATAATTTAAAGGTATTTTGCAAAGTACCCTAAAATGATTTCTACTCTGGGCTTTGTCATTATTCAGTCTGCAGCAAAAGCAAACAGAAAGCTTCCAAGATGATTTCAGAGACATCACACACACAAAAAATGCACTGAGATCCCTTTGCAGTTCGTTAATGATTAAGAGAAGCCCCAAAGTGAAGGAAATTTCAAAGTCTCTGTGATTCAGCTGCAGGGAACTTTCAGTTTTCACTTCAGCTTTGTGACCTCATCTGCAACCCGAGCCTGCAAAGGTCCCAGCGACCTCAGAACCGCCGTCATTTACGGGAAAAAGATAAGAAAGCAGCCCCGAAAAGGAGTTTATGTTGAGTTTATCACTTCAAAGGCAGGRCTGGAAACAGATTAAATTGTTGGCTCGGGTTTCTGTGCCACAAACCTTCCCTTGGCAATTCAACAGCTGCAGCATTTCCAGGAAACGCTGCTTTCATTTTCCATTCTCTAAAATGACGGTAAAAGGCGAATTATTGTTGCACTGACACAGGGATGCTCCACAAAACCTCTGCAATTTCATATTTCTGATGCATGAAAAATGATCATGCAAGTTGATGTCCTTGAATTCTGCTTCCAAGAATTCTTAAGACAAGCACTGAAGGATGTAAATATCCGAGGGGAGCCACAGAAATATGTTTTTTATAAACATGATGCAGGATTAAATTGGATTAAGAGAAAAAGAACAACCATATGATTTTTTTACCTCCTAAACTCCATTTATACAGGGAGAATGAGAGCAGAAGAAAATGAAATATTCCCAACAGCAGCTTTGTGAGCCCTGGAAACAAAACCCACCCAATTCACTGAAATATTTCCTATTTAATGTTAATTATTCTGCACTGGGTTCATTTATCAGCTGCTTTTAGCAGGAAGTTGAATTTTTTAAGTTCATCCATAGTACAGGGTACCAACAAAAGTGACTTTGGCAACCCTCTGCAAGGGAACTGGCAGAACAAAACCAAATCCTTCCAAAACTCTGTCCTCAAAAAACAGTTCAGTTCCTGAACAGAGGGACACAAACCCCCCATTCATCCCAGYTGTGTGAAAGCTGACTGGAAATTCAACAGGATTCAGCCAACAGAACACGGAATTAAAATATTTTAACAATTCAGGCTCAAGTGCCCACGGAAAAGGTGCATAATGAACAAAATATATTTACACAAAACTGTTCAAACATTTTGTTTACAAGGCAGAAACATTTTATGATTTCCATCACAAATGAAGCTGAAGTGGACAAAACTTGTCGCACTTTTGATGTTTCTGAGCTCCCTGGCGCGGATATCAGGATAAACATTGAATATTACAGATTTCTATTTTAGATCAGAGGGGCTGGGGCTGTCCTGGCTCATGTTCTCCTGCCCAACCACAGGGGCTGTTTCAGATCAGAACTGAATGCTCTTTCTGAGCGTTCCTTGGGCTCAAAATAATTCTGGAATTGTCTGGAAAATGCTTGAGGTAACAGCAGAAGTGGATGTGCTTGACTCAAGGAGAATCATGGAGTGGTTTGGG